AGTAAGAACATTATAATATTCTTGGAAGATTTCCAGTCCTTAGAATTGAATGTAAGTAACACTTGTATAAATATAAATTCAATCAAATCAAGACAAAAAATCTTCTAAGATTACAATAATCCTGTATAAACATAAGAACATCTATTTTGATTGGAGACTATTTTTTCCGTGTAATACTTACACGTTACGTTAAACAATAAAAATGTAAGATTTAATTTTTTTCTGTTGTACTCCTGATTACTTTCCTGTTACAGTACATAATAAAAATTCATGTGCGCGCGTGAACAAGAGTCTCTTGTAAGCGTAAAGTTTAATTCAAAATAATACAACGGCGCATTGAAAATAACACAATGATTCTTCAATTTATTTCTTTCTTGAAGGAGCACAACACACGCGTGAAAGTTCCGCGACGCACTCACTCTCAAAAGAGTTAACAAGAACTAAAAGTTCGAACGCAAATACAATAACACTCCGTAAACTTTGTAAATACTGCACGCAGTTATTATAAGAAAGTATTTCAATAGTTAAATTGCAATTGACGACGATCAATCGACAACGCATAGCACGAATACGTCCTGTCACGAGCTAGGCAGAAACGTACTGAATCGGGTTCTGAAGCTCCCGAGGATGTTTCGCTTTCTTTTTTAATCTCGCGTTTCTAAGACATGAAAATATCAATATAATAAAAGCAAAATAACGCCCGTGCCTAGCGACAACCGACACGATGTTGTCAGCTAATCACAGACAATCGAGTCTCACGAGCGACAATATATCGCATGTATCACGGGTGTACCGTGTGGCTCGTAACAAGCCGCCCACCTCATTGGTATCTTCAACGAAAAATACTTTTAGTCAAAATCGAGCAGTCAACTTGGTTCCTGAAGATAAAGTTTCCATGACCACAAGTACTGCTTATATTTCTTCTCCTTTAGGCAAAGGGACTATCTTGACCGCAGGTCTCACCAGCTCTCTAGACAAAGTTGTCCAATCTTTAAAAGCAGGGCAAGGTGTTTTCCATTTGGTACGAGGCAATAAAGATGTTAAGTATTCCTGTAACCACCGTTGCCATACGTGGTCACGCATCTTTTGTAAAAGCTTCCAACGTGTAAGCCGCGATGTAGGTTCTTCAGTTAGAAGTGGTTCAGGTACGGACAACAAAAGTGCTCCAATCAAAAAGTGCCCTGGTGTGAGTGGTGATAGATCTTCAGGATCGTCTGACATTGCAGCAATAGGTCTCGAATTCATGTAGGCCTCCACTTCAGCTAGTAGCGTAACCATCTCCTCGTAAGTGAATGTAGCCTCCCCGATGACCTTCCGTGACTCTTGACTCGATGCACGAAAGAGTGCTCGAAGTTTCGCATCCGCTCTAACGAAGTTGGTGCCGCAATCTGAAAATACATCCCTGCACAAGCCTCGTCGTGAAATAAACCTCCGGAATGCAACAAGGAAGGCTTCCGTCGTGTAATTAGTGACAGCCTCTAAGTGAACTGCGTTTGTCGCCAAGCAAACGAACACGCAGATGTACCCCTTGTATGCTCGGTGTCCTCTTCCCTTAGTTGTCCGAAGGAGAACAAGTCCCGCAAAATCGACTCCAGTCATCGTGAATGGGCGCGAAGGTGTCACTCGAGTCCGCGGCAGATCACCCATGAGAGGTTGTGGAGAAGCCGCCCGCCATCGCATACACGGCAGATAATTATGTAATAATTGTCTGACCAGTCGCCTGCCTCCCGGGATCCAAAATTGACGCTGAAGAATTGCCAACGTCAGTTGTATTCCGCCATGCAGCGCTCCATGGTGGGTTGCAATCACCAAAAGTCTGGTGAGATGAGATTTTGGAGGTAGTATTACGGGATGACGACTGTCCCAGTCCAACTCAGCATGACGTAGTCTGCCTCCACAGCGAAGTAAACAAACCTCGTCCAAGTATGGCTTCAGGCCAACAAATGAACTTCGATTATGGATGACGTGTCCTTTGGATAAAGCATATACCTCATCGCCATATGCCATTCGTTGTTCCAATCTAATCCAGAGATTTCTTGCAGCAAGGATCTCTTCAGGAATCAATGGTCCCTTCACGCGTTCCGCATGTCCGTGCCTCCACCGCAATATCCACGCTGTTGTCCGGAATAATAGTCGAAGAGTAGAAAAACGAGCAAGGAATTCGTTTGCTTCTACCTTGGTTACTCCATGTACTATCCGACGTTGCTCTGGTAGATCACTCTCAGTTGTCACATCCATGTCGTCATTGACCAAAAGTTCAGGGTTTTTCAGAAAGTCAGGACCGCTCCACCAAAGTAGGTGTTGAGAGAGGTCCATGGGAGCCACTCCACGGCACGCGCAGTCAGCTGGGTTGTTCTCATTCCTTACATGGCACCAGCGTGTCTCAGGCAAGGTGCGATGAATTTCAGCAACTCTGTTTGCAACAAACGTTGTCCATCTTGCAGGGTGTCCACGAATCCATGCAAGAGTGACAGTAGAGTCACACCATAAATGTACTGGAAATGATGATAACTTCAACTGTTCCCTCAAATGAGCTGTCAACCGCACGAGCAATACGGCCGGACACAACTCTAAACGAGGTAACAAAATGGATTTAAGAAAGGCCACTTTAGTTTTGGCCAGTGCCAATGAAACCCTTATTGATGCTCCATCCAGTGAAGCACTCCTGATGTAAATTACGGCAGCATAAGCTCTTTCGGATGCGTCAGCGAATCCATGGAGCTGCAAAGCAGATGTTTTAGACTCCATCACCCCCAACCATCGTCCGACTGTGAGCTACTCCAGTATAGGAAGGTCACGTTCGAAATCTCGCCACTCTGTTACTTCTCTTTGAGGAAGAGCGTCATCCCAGAAAAGTCTCTGTAGCCAAGTCTTCTGAATGAATATCTTAGCTCGTACGATGACGGGTGCCAACCAGCCCAGAGGGTCGAAGAGTTCAGCCACCCTGGACAGAACTGTGCGCCTGGTTGTTGGTCCATCCACCAACCTGCGAAATCTGTAAACAAAAGAATCGGTCTCCGGATGCCAACAAAGGCCGAGGGTAGACTGAGAACTTAAATCCCCCCAGCTAGCTTTCCGATTCGCCCGATGATCTTCTGGTGCTGAGAATCGCTTGGTGATTGCTGGACCACTTTCGCAAAGGAAACCCGCCCGCCAAGCAGAGCCGGGTTAATTGGTCTTGTAGCTCACCAACTTCCTCCAGTAAGTCGAATCCAGCAAGTACATCGTCTACATAAGTATTATGAAGAAGTGCTGCTGCTCCAAGAGGGAAGAGATGACCTTCATTCTTTGTCAACTGACGCAACGTGCGCATGGCAAGGAATGGTACACATGCCAATCCGTAAGTCACAGTGTTCACGCAAAACTCTGTCATCTTGTCCTTTTGGTCTTCTCTCCACAAGATTCTCTGAAGATCCCGATCCTCTTCTTGCACCATAATTTGGCGATATATCTTTTGAATGTCAGTCACAATGACATAACGATAACGTCTCCAACGAAGTAATACTTCTGCGAGGAGTGGCACCAGGTTTTGGCACACCATCAAGTATTGATTGAGTGTGTCACCAGAAGGTAGACGAAATGAACCATTAAATACTACACGTATTTTAGAGTCCATCACAGTAGACTTGAAGACTCCGTGATGAGGCAGGTAGCATAATCTTTCGGGAGGTTCC